TCTATGTACTCTGTGAGTCTGGCTGCTTCTCTGATCTGGGAATTGGCCCTGGAAATCCTTAGTTTAAGGTCACTTGTGGGAACTGTCTCCCAGTTGTCTTGAGAGTGATGTTCTGGGTCTATTTTGGTGTGGCTTGCATGGATCCAGGGAGACTTTTCCTTTATTTTGATGGCAGTGTAGGTGGTCAGTAGGACTTCATAAGGTTTTTCTCAGCGATGTGATAGCACATTTTTTCTTCTAAAGACCTGGATGGGGGCCAGCCCAGTGGCGCAAGTGGTTAAGTGTGCGCGCTCCGCTGCAGCGGCCCGGGGTTCGCCAGTTCAGATCCCGGCCACCCACCGATGCACTGCCTGGCAAGCCATGCTGTGGCTGCGTCCCATATAAAGTGGAGGAAGATGGGCACGAATGTTAGCCCAGGGCCAGTCTTCCTCAGCAAAAAAGAGGAGGATTGGCGGTTGTTAGCACAGGACTCATCTCCTCACAAAAAAATAAATAAATAAAATAAAGACCTGGATGTACACCCAATCTCCTGGTCTAAAAGGATAGCAAGGCCTGTCAGAAGGTGGAGGCCATGCCTCTTTTACCCATTGATATGCTTCAAGTATACTAGTTAATTCTTGTCTATGGCTAGTCATAGCATCAAATTATTCACTAAAGTTCCCATAATATTCACTTAATCCAGGAATGGAAGGTTTAGAGATGCCAGTAGGTATCAGGCATCCAAAAACTATTTCAAAAGGAGTCAATCCATGTTTCCTATTGGGAATGTTCCAGATCTTTATAAGGGTCAAGGGCAGTGCTTCTGGCCATTTAAGTCCAGTATCTTGACAGACCTTGTCTAAAGTCCTTTTGACGTCTAGATTTTTACATTCCACTTGCCCTGATGATTGAGAGTGATATGGGGTATGAAATTTTAGTGAGTACCCAGAGTTTCTGCAAGCAAGTGGTTATCTGCTGTAAAATGAGCTCCTTGGTCTGATTAGATCTATAAAGGAATGCGAAAACAAGGAATAACTTCAGTCATTAATTTCTTTACCACTGTTGTGGCATCTGCATGTCTAGTCAGATAGCATTCAGTCCATCCACTCACCATGCAGATGATAACCAAGCAGTGAGAATAGCCTAAAGCTGAAGGCATGTCTATAAAGTCCATTTGGAGTGCCGCAAAGGGCAGTGTGGGCCTGGGAGGGCTTCCTGGGGTACACTGACTTCTCCCAGAAAGTCGGTGAGATTGGCAAGTAGTGCACTGGGAAATAATTGATTCAGAAATTTTGTGAATGCCAGGCAGGGCAAAACCAATTGTCTTTTAGTTCCTTAACTATCCCCCGTCTGCACATATGTCCCCTTTAGGGGGAGATAAGTGCAAGCCAAAAAGCCAAAGGAAAAGGAGCTATAGGAAGTCCGTTTGGTCCCGTGTCTAATCCACCTGATCATTGTTTGGTGCCCTTTTGTATCCAATTGTCTTTTTCTGATTCTCGCACATTTTCCTGATAATAATATCAGTGAGAGATTAAGGTAGGTTTAAAAATTGGATGGAGAAGTGGAAATTTGAGAAGGGAGGTGAATAGCTTGTAATGGGGCAGCAATTAGCGTCTGCTAGCAATAGGAGTTCCTGTGGAAGTTAAGAATTCACGGGATTTCCAAATTTTGCCAACAGCATGGCAGACTCCAGAAGCATACCTGGAGTCAGTGTAAAGAGTGGCAGTTTCCCCTTTTGCTCATGTGCAGGCTCTAGAAAGAGCTATGAGTCCAGCAGCTTCGGCTGATTTTACAGTGGGCAAAGAACAAGCTTCAAGCATTTCATGGGGGGAAACTGTGGCATAACCAGTTATTATGATTCCCCAGAAATTCCACTTACAGGAGCCATCACGATGCAGAAGTCAGTCTGGAGTGTCTAAAGGGATGTCTGAGAGACCCTCTTGTGGCTTTGAGACCATTTCTGTAGCTGCAGGGCAGTTGTGTGGGATGGAGTGGGCCTCTTTGTCAGCAGGGAGGGGTCATAAGGAGGCTGATTCAAAGTGTTACAAGAGGGCCGGCCCCGTGGCTTAGCAGTTAAGTGCTCGCGCTCCGCTGCTGGTGGCCCGGGTTCGGATCCCGGGCGTGCACCGACGCACCGCTTCTCCGGCCATGCTGAGGCCACGTCCCACATACAGCAACTAGAACAATGTGCAGCTGTGACATACAACTATGTAGTGGGGCTTTGGGGGGAAAAAAATTAATAAAACAAAGTGTTACAAGGATGTAAGATGGTGGAAGGGTTAGTTAAAAGAGCCTGCTCATAGGTGGTCTGTCACCCTGTAGAGAGGTGTGGTGCCTTGTGAACTTGCAAAATAGCGGACAGAGTATGGGGCACATAGAGATGAACGGGAGAGCCTAACGTTAGAGTACTGGCTTTGTCAGTCAGGGTGGCAGGTGTGACTGCTGCACATAAGCATGGGGACATACCTGATGCCACAGGGTCTAGTTGGCATGGGAAATATGCTATAGGACATATCTGAGAGGCAAAAGATTGTCCTAGAATGCCTGCAGCAATTCCATTATTTCCATGGAAGTATAGATGAAAAGGTTTGTCAAAATTAGGTAAGCCGAGAGCCCAGGGGTGTGGACAAAGCTAATTTTAAGGCTTCAAAGGAGTGTGATGGTTCTGAAGGCCAGGAAACAGGCTGTGGGGTGATATCTGGGAGAACAGCACACAGAGGTTTAGCAAGGGCTGCAGAATTAGGAATCCATTGGGGCAGTAACCAGCTGCCCCTAGAAATTTACACAGCTGTTTTTTTCATTTTGGAGAGAAAGATGGACAAAATGGACTCAAGGTGTTTGGGGTCACCTTTTGAATGCCTTGAGACAGCTCATGTCCTGAGTAGGTAGCAGTCATTTGCACCCACTGAAGTGTAGATCTGGAGGGTTTATGGCCTCGAGCAGCTCGTGCTTTCAGGAGAACGAGGGAGTCTTTAAGGGCTCCCTGATGAGTTTGATCACAGAGTAGAAGGTCATCCTCGTATTGAACAGGAGTGGAGCCTGAGTAAAGACTACAGAATCCAAGTCGGCTGTAAGGATTTGGGAAACTATTGAGGGAGACTCACAATATCCCTTAGGTAGGTGAGTCCATGTGAATTACCTCCCTTTAAATGTAAATGGAAAAAGAACTTGTGAGTTAGGGTGCAAAGGCATTGAAAAGAACACCGAACATAGGTCAACTCCTGTCACCCAGGCTGCACCTGCAGGAACTGAGGTCAGGATGACAGCTGAATCGGGGACCAGGGATGCTGAGGAATCCACAAGACTTTATGGCCTGAGATCTTGTACAAATCTATAGATTTGGCTCCCCTCTGAGTCCAACTTAGCTTCTTTTTTCACTGGCAAGATTAGAGAATTACATGGTGAGGAAATAAAAACTAGTGCACCCTGTTGCAGAAGGGAGTCTGGTATACATTCAATTCCTTGCTCTGCATCTCTGGAGAGTGGTTATGGGGCTACTGATGGGCAAGGTTCATTGTTTTTCCAAGTGCAAGTGTTCTGCACTAACAATCCTACCTCATTTGCATGTGTAGCCCAAAGACAAATTGGGACATCTTTTAAAGACTCCTCGTCTTCAGAAGAATTTAAATCAGGATGAGTTTCCAGCAAGGAAAGTAGGAGACTTGGAGTTTTGTCTGAAGGCAGGGAGATAAAAACATCTTTCTCATCACAATTTCTAGTGGCATTACATTTACATAACAAACTTCTGCCAAAATGGTTTGCTGGTGAACAGTGGGAGACTATAAAGGCATGATGAATGTCAAGGGGCCTAAAGATATTGGAGTGGGCTGAGATATGGGCCATGAAACAGGTTGCCTAGAGACTCCAACAGCTTGAGTAGAATCAGATGTGACAGGTAGAGATCAATCCTCTGAAGGGATAGTGGAGAAAGTCACACCAGTGTCAATTAAGAAATCTAGTACCTGATCCTCTATATTATGTTTAATAGTAGGCTCAGGGTGCCACTGAGGATCAGCTGACCCCGTCGTTTAAGGGGGAAATGCCCCTCAGGATGAGAAAACGGAGCCTTCTGATAGTGCTGGGGCCAAGGGAGGGAGTATTTTTTCAACTTTCCCTGCTCTTAAGAGGAGGACTATCTCTTTTCCGATTCCTTGCTTCTTACAAAACCTGCCATTGTCTGGAGGCAAATTGGGAGGCCTCTGAGTGGGCTGTAATTTACTCTCAAGAGTTACGTTTTTGCTTCTCTCAAGATTCAAATTGTAAAGCCAGAAGAGTTGCTTTTAGTTCTCTTTTCCTTTTGCTTTCCTGCTATTTTCAAAGAATTGTGTAGCAGCCTCCATTATTACACTTAATGGTTGCCCTGCCCAACCAACCACACTGTTTTGAATTTGTTTCTTTGTATCAGGAAGAAAATTTCCTACTAAAGCGGAAATTAGGAGATTCCTGTGCTCTGGGGCTTCCGGGTTTAATGCAGTGTGCCTTTAATAAGTTTGTATGAAACATTCAAAAAACGGTTTTGGATGTTCCCCTCACTCTGAGAGCATAGTTCAATTTTTGACCAATTAACTTTAGGAGGACCGCCTCTAAAGTCACTCCTATTAAACCTTGGATATCAGACTCTAGCAGCGCCACTTCCTGGTCATTTGCAGGAGGGCCTGGGAGAGGGTCTGGCCATCTATTTCCCCTACTAGAGGGGTTTCCTCCAGGGGACCCTCTGGCCTATCTGATAACTACAGTGTAATCCTGGGCTGGAAGATCACCCCTTAGCAGCCAGTCAAGATCTCTGTGGTGGGGTTATGAATAGCCACTAATCCTTCTAACTTCTCTCTAAATTTAGTAGGATCTTCTGACAGTGGAGGTAGGAGAGTTTTGTAATTTAACAGATTGGCTGCTGTCCAGGGGTCATGAATTCTCTGTAGTGTAGGTCCAGGACACATCCACAGTGGACACTGTGTAGGAATGCCTGAAGCTGGCAGAGCCTGACGACAGAGCCCTGGACAGTAGGAGGACTTAGGAGGGACAGCAAAGCCAGCCTTCCTGCCTCTCCTGGCTGCTTCTACCGAATCACTTCCTGGCTTTCAGCATTTACACAAGTGACCTGTATGCCCCTGGCTTGGAGGGCAGGCCTGAGTGCCCCTGTAAGTCTGCTAAAGAGAGGGAAGGGAAAATGGGCAGCTGAGTGCTGTTTGGAGAAGGTGGGGTTTTAGGATCTGAGGGAACTGGCTGAGGAGCTAAGTCTTGAGAGTGGGAGTTGAAACCAGGGGCCCAGAGATCCAACAGATCTGGGGAGTCAGGGACAGGGAGTTGGGGATATAGGGGAGTATAGGAGGGAGGAGAGGGGAATTTTCATTATAATTGGCTTCCCCCCCCGCTATATGCCAGGTCCTCTTATTATTTCATTTCATCTTCACAACGGTCTCATGAGGCAAGTACTATTATTTTGTCTCTTGGTTAGATGCAGAGACTGAAGTTCAGGGGAGTGAAATAACCTGCCCAGGGCCACCCGGCTGGTAAATGTTCTCAGTAAATTCCCTCTGGCCACTGCCCAAAGAATCAATAATGTAGGGGTGACAGGAGGGAGCAGGGTAAGACCTGCTAGGAAGCCGGTGCAGTGATGCAGATGAGAGAGAAGATGGTGGTGGTGGTGGTGGTGGTGGTGGAGGTGGTAAGAATAGGTCAGATTCTGGATATATATATTTTTTTAATTTAATTATTTTATTGAGATCATGTTAGCTTATAACATTGTATAATTTCAGGTGTACATTATTATACATCAGTTTCTGTGTAGACTGCATTGTACCCACCACCAATAGTTTAGATTTTATCCATCACCATACATATGTACCCCTTTGCCCCTTTTGCCCTCCCCTAACTGCCTTCCCCTCTGGTAACCACTAATCTGTTCTCCTTATCCATGTGTTTATCTTTCACATATTGGTGAAATCTTATGGTGTTTGTCTTTCTCTGGCTTATTTCTCTTAGCATAATACTCTCAAGGTCCATCCATGTTGTCACAGCTGGCACAATTTTGTCTCTTTTTATGGCTGAGTAGTATTCCATAGTATATATATATGACACCTTCTTTATCCATTCATCCCTCAGCAAGGGAAACAAAAGAAAAAATAAACAAATGGGACTTCACCTGACTAAAGAGCTTCTGCAATGCAAAGGAGACTATGAACAAAATGAAAAGACAACCCAACCAACTGGGACAAAATATTTGCACATCATTTATCCGTCCAGGAAAATGGGGTTAATTTCCAAAATATATAAAGAACTCATAAAACTCAACAACAATAAAAGTAAACAACCTGATTAAAAGATGGGCACAGGATATGAACAGACATTTTTCCAAAGAAGTTATACAGCCAACAGGCACATGAAAAGATGTTCAATATCACTAGTTATTAGAGAAATGCAAATCAAAACTACAATGAGATATCACCTTACACCTGTCAGGATGGCTATAATTAACAAGACAAATGTTGGAGAGGACATGAAGAAAAGGGAAGTCTCATATACTGCTGCTGGGGACGCAAACTGGTGCAGCCACTATGGAAAAGACTATGGAGATTTCTCAAAAAATTAAAGATAGAAATACCATACAATCCAGCTATTCCACTACTGAATATATACCCAAAGACACGAAATGAATAACTCAAAGAGATTTATGCATTATTCACAATAGCCAAGATGTGGAAGCAACCCAAATGCCCAACAACTAGACATGGTATTCGAAAAGATACTGTTACGACTGATGTCAAACAGTATATTGCCTATATTTTCTTCTAGGCGTTTTATGGTTTCAGGTCTTACCCTCAAGTCTTTAATCCATTTTGAGTTAATTTTTGTATATGGTGTAAGATAATGGTCTACTTTCATTCTGTTGCACATGACTGTCCAGTTTTCCCAACACCATTTACTGAAGAGACTTTCCTTTCTCCATTGTATGTTCTTGGCTCCTTTGTTGAAGATTAGCTGTCTATAGGTGTGTGTTTTTATTTCTGGGCTGTCAGTTCTGTTCCAGTGATCTGTATGTCTGTTTTTGTGCCAGTACCATGCTGTTTTGATTACTATAGCTTTGTAGTATGTTTTAAAATCAGGGAATGTGATGCCTCCAGCTTTGTTCTTTTTTCTTGGGATTGCTTTGGCTATTTGAGGTCTTTTGTTGTTCCATATAAATTTTAGGATTCTTTGTTATGTTTCTGTGAAGAATGTCATTGGGATTCTGATTGAGATGGCATTGAATCTGTAGATTGCTTTAGGGAGTGTGGGCATTTTAACTGTGTTAATTCTTCCAATCCAAGAGCACAGAATATCTTTCCATTTCTTTGTCGTCTTCAATTTCTTTCAACAATGTTTTATAGTTTTTAGTGTATGGCTCTTTCACCTCTTTGGTAAAATTTATTCCTAGGTATTTTATTCTTTTTGTTGCAATTGTAAATGGGATGGTATTCTTAATTTCTCTTCCTACTACTTCGTTGTTAGTGTATAGAAACACAACTGATTTTTGTAGTTAATTTTGTATCTTGCAACTTTACCATATTCATTTATTATTTCTAAAAGTTTTTTGGTGGATTCTTTAGGGTTTTCTATATATAAAGTCATGTCATCTTCAAATAGTGGCAGTTTCACTTCTTTCTTTTCCAATTTGGATCCCTTTTATTTCTTTTTTTTTTGCCTGATTGCTCTGGCTAGGACTTTCAATACTATGTTAAATGAGAGTGGTGAAAGTGGGCATCCTTGTCTGGTTCCTGTTCTTAGAGGGATAGCTTTCAGTTTTTCTCCATTGAGAATGATATTAGCTGTGGGTTTGTCATATATGGCCCTTATTATGTTGAGGTACTTCTAAACCCATTTTATTCAGAGTTTTTATCATAAATGGATGCTGTATCTTGTCAAATGCTTTCTCTGCATCTATTGAGATGATCATGTGATTTTTATTTTTCCTTTTATTAATGTGGTGTATCACATTGGTTGATTTGCAGATGTTGAACCATCCCTGCATCCCTGGAATAAATCCCACTTGGTCATGGTGTATGATCTTCTAAATGTATTGTTGTATGCAATTTGCTAGTATTTTGTTGAGGATTTTTGCATCCATGTTCATCAGTGATATTGGCCTGTGGTTTTCTTTTTTTGTGTCATCCTTGTCTAGTTTTGGTACCAAGGTAATGTTGGTGTCGTAGAATGAGTTAGGAAGCTTCCCCTCCTCTTCAATTTTTTGGAAGAGTTTGAGAAGTATAGGTATTAGCTCTTCTTTGAATGTTTGGTAGAATTCACCAGGGAAGCTGTCTGGTCCTGGGCTTTTAGATTTTGGGAGGTTTTTGATTACTGTTTCAATCTCCTTACTGGTGATTGGTCTATTCAAATTCTCTATTTCTTCTTCTTCTTTTTTTTTTTTTGTGAGGAAGATCAGCCCTGAGCTAACATCCATGCTAATCCTCCACTTTTTGCTGAGGAAGATCGGCTCTGAGCTAACATCTATTGCCAATCCTCCTCCTTTTTTCCCCCAAAGCCCCAGTAGATAGTTGTATGTCATAGTTGCACATCCTTGTAGTTGCTGTATGTGGGACATAGCCGTGGCCGGAGAAGAGGTGCCTCGGTGTGCACCCGGGATCGGAACCGGGGCCGCCAGTAGCGGAGCGCGCACACTTAACTGTTAAGCCACAGGGCCGGCCCTCTCTATTTCTTCTTGATTCAGTTTTGGAAGGTTGTATGATTCTAATAATGTATCCGTTTCTTCTAGATTATCCAATTTGTTGGCTTATAGCTTTCTGTAGTAGTCTCTTATAATCTTTTGCATTTCTGAGGTGTCCCTTTTAGTTTCTCCTCTTTCATTTCTGATTTTATTTATTTGAGCCTTCTCTCTTTTTTTCTTGGTGAGTCGAGCTAAAGGTTTGTCAATTTTGTTTATCTTTTCAAAGAACCAGCTCTTGGTTTCATTGATTTTTTTTCTATTGTTTTTTTTAGTTTCTATTGCATTTATTTCTGCTCTGATATTTATTATTTCCCTCCCTCTGCTGATTTGGGGCTTTGTTTGTTCTTCTTTTTCCAATTTCTTTAGGTGCACTGTTAGATTGTTTATTTGAGATTTTTGTTGTTTGTTGAAGTAGGCCTGCATTGCTATAAACTTCCTTCTTAGAACTGCTTTTGCTGTATCCCGTAAATTCTGGCATGTCATATTTTCATTTTCACTTGTCTCCAGGTATTTTTTGGTTTCTTGTTTGACTTCTTCATGGTCCCAATTGTTGTTCGGTAGCATTTTGTTTAATCTCCACATATTTGTGGCTTTTCTGATTTTCTTCCTGTAGTTGATTTCTAGTTTCACACTGTTGTGGTCAGAAAAGACCCTTGGTATTATTTCAGTCTTCTTACATTTATTGAGACTTGTTTTGTGGCCTAACATGTGATCAGTCTTGGAGAATGTTCCATGTGCATTTGAAAAGAATGTGTATTCTGTGGTTTTTGGATGGAATGTTCTGTATATATCTACCAAGTCCATCTGGTCTGATGTGTCATTTAAGGCCAGTGTTTCCTTATTGATCTTCTGTTTGGATGATCTAGCCATTGGTGTAAGTGGAGTGATAAAGTCCCCTACTATTATTGTGTTACTGTCTATTTCTTCTTTTATGTCTGTTAATTATTGCTTTATATATTTAGGTGCTCCTATGTTGGGTGCATAGATATTTACAAGTGTTATATTCTCTTGTTGGATTCTTCCGTTTATCAGTGTGTAGTGCCCTTCTTTGTTTCTTGTTACAGTTTTTGTTTTAAAGTCTATTTTGTCTGATATGAGTACTGCTACCCCAGCTTTCTTTTCATTGCCATTTGCATGGAGTATCTTTTTCCATCCCTTCACTTTCAGTTTGTGAGTGTCTTTAGGTCTGAAGTGTGTCTCTTGTATGCAGCATATATATGGGTCTTGTTTTTTTATCCAGTCAGCCACCCTGTGCCTTTTGATTGGAGCATTTAGTCCATTGACGTTTAAAGTAGCTATTAATAAGTATGTGCTTATTCCCATTTTGTTCCTTTTTGTCTGGGTGTTTTAGTAGTTGTTCTCTGTTCCTTTCTTCTTCTCTTGCTCTCTTCCCTTGTGGTTTGATGGCTTTCTTTAGT